AAATCTGTTCTTCAGGTGATCTCTAAATTCAGGTGTGATATATTCAAGGTCATATTTTGGCTCTCGTGGACTTGTTTTCATTTTCTTCAGCTTCAATTTGAATTTGCATAGGAGTAATTGATGGTCTGTTCCACAGTCTGCTTCTGGCCTTGTTTTGACTGATGATATGGAGTTTTTTCATTGTCTCTTTCCACACATGTAGTCAATTTGATTTCTTTGTTTTCCATCTGGTGAGGGTCATGTGTATAGTTGTGTCTTATGCTGTCTAAAGAAAGTATTTGAAATGAACAAATCACTGGTTTTGCAGAATTCTGTCATGCGTTCTCCCGCATCATTTCTATCACCAAGGCCATATTTTCCAACTTCTGATCCTTCCTCTTTGCTCCCAACCTTTGCATTGTAATCACCAGTAATTATCAATACATCTTGATTGCATGTTTGATCAATTTCAGATTGAAGAAGTTGGTAGAATTCTTCTATTTCATCCTCACTGACTTTAGTGTTTGGTGCGTAAATTTGAATAATAGTAGTATTAACTGGGCTTCCCTGTAGGCGCATGGATATTATCCTATCATAGACAGCATTGTACCTCATGACTGATCTTTTTGGATATGTTCTTTTTGACAATGAATGCAACACCAATCCTCTTCAATTTGTGATTCCCGGCATAATAAACCATGTGGTTGTCATATTCAAAATGGTCAATACCAGTCAATTCAGCTCACTAATGCATAAGATATTGATGTTTATGCATTCCATTTCATTTTTGACAACTGTCAATTTTCCTAGATTCATGCTTTGTACATTCCATGTTCTGATTTTCAATGGATGTTTGCAGCTGTTTCTATTCATTTTGAGTTGTGCCCCATCAGCAAATGAAGATCCTGTGGGCTTTTCTCCCACGGGCTTTACTCCATTCACGTCATCATGGTCAACTCTACATTGAGGAGGCAGCTCTTTTCTTCCCCAGTCGCATTTTGAGTGCCTTCCAACTCGAGGGGCTCATTTTCTGGCACTATATCTGACAGTGTTTCTCTGCTATTCATAAGGTTTTCAGTGACTAAATATTCTAAAGTAGTTCATCACTCTTTCTTCCTAGTCTGTCTTTGTCTGGAAGCTCATATGAAACCTGTCCACCATGCATGACCCTGCTGGTATTTAAAATACCAGTGGTATTACTTTCAGAATCACAGCAACTCACAAGCCACCACAGAACAACAAACTGATAGATGATTGGTGGATGTAATGTTTAGCAGCTGTTATTGGCTCTTGTCTCAATTGTGGAATATTATGGGGTATGCTTGTAGCTTGGCTATATGGCTATAATTCCTATCTCTTCTTGGGTAATGTAGAAAGAAGAAGCTTCCACCTCCAGGAAAAATGTGTGATCAAAAGGCCCAAAATCAGGAGCAATATAAAAGCAGAGACAAAAACCACCACTTTGAAACAAAAATAAAACTGTGGCCGACTATCCAGTCGCCTTGCTACACAGGCAGTGTGCTTGCACTATAGAAGCCTCCAGCAGTGGGTGGGGGATTCACTTGCTCACACCCTTCCTCTAGTCACCACCGTAGAGGTGTGCAGATAGATATTGAGAAGTTAATAGGAGAATGATTGTCTCTATTTATGTCTCTGAAGGTCAGTTAGGTATCTGCGTGTGCACATCGTAATTCTCAAGAAAGTTACATCCTTTTATGTTGGGGTTTTACAGATTGTTCATGTGGTTTGTCTGTCAGGCCTGACGAGCCTGCTTTTTTCTTGCTAGATAGAGGGAGTCCCGACAGGAGCGATTCCTAAATCGCAGTATTTTCCTTTACCTGGTGATTTTTCCACTTGTGCATGCGGGAAACTGACACCCTGTACCTTATGCTAGATCCAGAGCTCTGGTATTGTTCTGTGAACACAGTTTCTCTGGTTTTTCTATCCCTCCTCCACGGAGCCTTTCCTACCTGACTGTCTCTGTGGCCATCAAAACCCAAAGTCCCTGAAGTATTTTTGTAATTAGGAAAAATTAGGACTTTAAAAGTTCATAATAGAGAAGTTGGTTAGGTAAATGATTGCATATTCTTATAATATAATCCTGTGCAGGTACAGAAAAGTACAAATATAGTCAGTGCTGTGCCTTTTGAAAGGGTATTTTTGATGATAATACTCCATGCTGAAGCAGTTGCCATGAAAGTAATACATCCCTTTTGGAAAGCAATTTTTCCTTAAGTATGATCAAGTTATTAACTCTTTTACACCTCTAGATTTATACTGTCATTTTGATTTTAAGAAGATAATTTCAATTAGGAAATTATTCATAAGTTCATTTTAATACCTGTTTGATACACCTCATTCAGATGTAGCATGGTTTGCTTAACCATTCTTCTCTATTGTTTGTATTTTAGGACATTGACACGTTTTCCATGTTTCAAAAATGTGAATATCCTTGTGTAGGAATCTGTTTGTATGTCTGATTCTTCGATTCTTTACTTAGCTTAAAGTCCTAGGAATGACATTGCTAGGTTAAAGGATACGAAAACACTAAAGTCATTTTCTGTTTGTATGTGTGTGTTAATTATGGTAAAATATGAGGGGGCTTTTTAAGCCCCTTTGAATATGTTGTTGTTCAGTGCAGTCAAATAGTTTTTGTCTCATAGCGACCATACAAGCGCCACGCAATTTGCCATTTGAACCCATTTAAGGGTACAGTTTAGCACACACTCAGGTTCTTTCAGATGATCTTTTTACAGTGGCTCAGCACTGGGTCTTGGCTGTTCATTTTCTCCCGGTTTGTCCTAACATCCCCTGAGAATCATCTGAGCTTCACAACCTCTCTTCTCTAAAAAGCCCTTCCAGCTGACAAATGGGAATGACTCCCCAGGAGGCACTGTGACCAGGTGCTACTTTCTGTTCCCTCAGAGTTAGGGAACAGTATTGAGCATTTCTGCTCAAGTCTGAATTTGGCTAGGGGTGGCTTCCCCACAGCCAATCTCTCCGGGACTCAGCTTGCTCCCTGCACCGTGTGCGGATTGCTTACTTTCGTAATTAACACTATCTCTTTCCTTCTCACCTTCCAGGTTTTGGGACCTTGTCATAGATGCCAGATGATTTGCATCGACCAGCAAACTGGGCAACGAAACCAAGATGTTTTCCAGAAACTCTCTGAGAGTCGAAAAAGAAAGGTAAGTATGATCACAAAATGTGGTACCCCATCTGGTGTGTTATTTATGCCATAATGTTGTTGTTGTTGCTAAGGGTCATCAAGTTGGTTCTGACCCATAGTGACCCTGTATAGGGTTTCTGAGGAGCTGCTAGTGAGTTTGAACTCGCAACCTTGTGGTCCAGTGCATTATCCCACAGTGCCACATGTACTGAGTAATTTTTACAAAGGGTTGCACAGTGGCTCTGTAGGATAAGCACTGGACTGAAAACCACCAGGTTGGCCGTTGGAGCCTACCAGCCACATTGTGTAGGAAAGACTAGTTACAGCCTTGGAAACCCTATACAGTGTCACAGTGAGTCAGACCCGACTTGATGGCACTTTAACAACAACAGCAGTATTTAGCAATGGGTGGATTTGTTGCAAGTTCCAAAGCTAGGGGTCTGTCCTTAAGGTTCTGACCTTGACTATGGCTTCATTTTATTTTTCCTTTCCATCCACTTCTTGGTTTCTGTTTTTGTTTGTTGTACTGAAAGTTTTCTTTCTTTTTAAAAATTACTGTAGTAAAATATATATAACAAAAAATGGTAGTTTAATCATTTTTGAATGTGCATTTTGTGACATTAATAACATTCACCATGTTGTGTATCTGTCAACACTATCTATTATGTTTCCCAAAGTATTTCATCACTACTAATACATTATATGTATTAGTATTAATAATAATTTATAATCATTTATTAATAATATCAATTATGCATTATAAGTATGTATCGATATAAAATTATAATACATACTTATAATCCATGCACAAAATTTATGTTAAGTGTAATTATGAATAAATAATAAACACTACATATTTATACTCTCAAATCCTTTTAAAGCAATATGGAGTATTTATAAATAATAAGTTAATAAGTCAGGCAGTTCCATTGTTGCAGTCATTTCTTCCTTCATTACACGATCTCATGAAGAAGAAGAACAAAATGCTTCTGAAGAATGAAATGTCTTCTGGTGAATAAAATACAGTTTGTCACGAATACCTGCATAGAACGATAAAGTAAATTTCATTAAACTAAGCCTGCAAATCATCTTCTTGAGAGTTAAGATGTCCCAATGTTGCCGTTGTGTATGGATTTCAAATGATAAAAGCTGAACTTTTAGCTTGGAGATTCTTTTCTGCTTGAAGGTGCCTTCAAGTTGACTGCGACTCCCAGGGATCTTATCCACAGAATGAAACACTGCCCAGTTCCATGCTGTCCTTACATTTGTTATGTTTGAGCCCATGGTTGCAGCCACTGTGTCAATCCATTTTATTAGGGGTCTTGCTCTTTGTTTTTTTTCTTACCCTCTACTTTTTCAGTGATTGGTGCCTCCTAATAACATGTTCAAAGTATGTGAGACGAAGTCTTACCATCTTCTTTTCTAAGGGGCATTTGGTTTCGTTTTTGTTAAGTGCTATTGAGTCAGTTCCAAATCATAGGGACCCTGTGTAGGGTTTTGAAGGGACATTCTAATGTATTTATTCCAACACAGCTTTGTTTATTCTTCTGGAAGTCCATGGTACTTTCAATACTTTTTGCCCACACTATAATCCAAAGGCATAAATTCTTCTTTGGTCTTCCTTATTTATAGTCCAGCTTTCACATGTATGTGAGGCAATTGGAAATATGATGTATTGGATCAAGAGCCCCTTAGTCCTCAGAATGATACCTTTGCTTTTTAACAGTTTAGAGAGGTCTTGTGCAGCAGATTTGCCCAATTAATAAAACGTTTTGATTTCTTTACTGCTGCTTCCATGATCATTGATTGTGGAGCCAAATAAAAGGAAATCCTTAGCAGCTTTAATCTTTTCTCTATTTATCATGATGTTGTTTACTGGTCCAATTGTAAGGGTGACCCACCAGCTACACCTAGGAAACTGGACAGCACTTAACATCAACAATCCATACTGAAGGTTGTATTCTTTGATCTTCATTAGCAAATGTCTCAAGTCCTCTTCACTTTCAGCAAGCAAGGTTGTGTCATCTGCATGTCAAAGGTTGCTAATGAGCCCTTTGTCCAATGGAAGATTTATTTTCAGGTTCACACTTTCTGCTAGGGTTTTTTGTTTGCAAAGAATTCCAGGAAGCCAAGTGTCTTAGTTAGTTAGTGCTTCTATCACAAAACAGAAAATCACCAGTGGGTGACTTGCAGGAACAGAAGTGTATTTTGTCATATCAGGGTCTCAGTGGTGTTGATTGTTTCTGTGAGCATCTTTGTCATGACTCCACAAGGAAGCTGTATCAATGAGGAAAACAGATCCTTGAGTCAAAAGGGAAACTTGAGAACATGTCCAGAGCTCTCCTTCTCACAGATGTTTGTAACAGAGAAAACAGCTGTAGAAGACATTAGGAATAGAAGAGAACAAACCTAGCTGAGGTATAACACCAGCTACACAGTTGAGAATATAGGGTGGAACCACATTTTGCCTTTAATCTATGAGTTTGAGTTCCTGGTAATGCAAACAGCTAAGCACTGGAGTACTAACCAAAGGTTGGCATTTGATACATACCTAGAGACACCTTTGAAGGAAAGCCTGGCAACCTGTTTCCAAAGGCCCAAGTTGCATTGAAGGCATTAGTGAAAAGCAAGGCTCCAGGAATTGTCAGAATACCAATTGAGATGTTTTAGTAAATGGATACAATGTTGGAAGTGGAAGTGTCTACTTTTCTATGCCAAAGAATTTGGAAGACAGCTACCTGGCCAACCAACTGGAAGAGAACCATATTTGTGCCCATTCCAAAGAAAGGTGATCGAACAGACTACGGAAGTTATCAAACAATATCAGTAATATCACATACCAGTAACATTTTGCTGAAGTTAATTCAGACATGGTTGCAGCAGTACATCAACAGGGATCTTCCAAAAATTCAAACCAGATTCAGAAGAGGATATGGAGGAAGGGATATCATTGCTTATAACAGATGGATTGTTACTAAAGGCAGAGCATACAAGAAAGATGTTTATCTGTGTTTTATTGACAAAAGGGAAGAACACGGTCAGTATTTCTCAAGCTGGGGGAACTGAAGAAAAAATTCAAGCCTCGACTTTCGTTATTGAAAGATTCACTGGGCAAATTA